GGGGGGGGGGGGGTTGTAAAAACCACAGCCTCCAATTCAGCACCAAATCCATGAACAGCAGACATTTGATCCTCCACCCCAGTCTAAGGCTGGATTCCCTCCATGTTTTAGCCAAGTTCAAAATCACTGCCCTGGGAGAAGAACGGAGGGAAGTGGGGTTATGGACCAGCGGGGAGGGAGGCAGGAGGAGGAGGAGAAACAGAGACAGAAATGGAGGCAGCAAAACACACGAAATACTCCACGAGCAAGAGTAATGATCATAATCATGCCAATAGTGTGATGTTCTGATCAATATGGCGGACACCGTCATTCATACAACTACAGACGCTCCCCTTCCCTCCACCCCCCCAAAAACACCCACCCCAGGAGTTGGGGTGGAGGACCCAGAACCAACGTAGGAAGTGGGGGTGGGGAGGCGAAGCCAGGTCTGTGTGTGTGTGTGTGTGTGTGTGTGTGTGTACGAATTTAAAAAACCAGGCCTGGAGAGCAATGTGGAGTGAGCAAGGTAATAAAAACGATTTTTAAAAATCATTCTTTAAAAAAGTACAAATCCCAATGCCACAGGGACTTACTTCATCTGCTTCACAATGGTGCTTTTTCCTGATTCTCCAGCCCCTGTTGGGACATAGATAGGGGGAAAAACTGGTGAGTGTCAGTTTAGGGGAACCGGGAGGGGGGATTTAAGGCATGCGAGGGGGTGGGAGATCCTGGGCACATGGTAGTGCCAACTCGGTGACCAGGTCTCCCGGGGTACAAGTGTGGTGGGGGAGTTGGCGGCGGGGGTGCGTTGTGGACTGGGTCGGGGATGGGGGTGGCAGCTGTGGTCCTTACCCAGCAGGAGTAATTTCACATCTTTGGCGGCGCTGATGCCATCCTCTTTGAGGTTTTTCTCAATCGCCTTGCTCCGCTCGAGGGCGGCTCTCTCTTCTGCGCTCAGAGTACATCCCATGGTGGCCCCTTCCCTGCCACAGCCCGCACGACTAGGCTGGCACGGCTCCCCGGCTCGACGCGCCCCCCACCCCCCCAAAGAGCAGAGCCTGGGCTCAAAGGGGGAAAAATCACGATATCTTCTCCTTGGCTGGGATCAAAAATGTCGGAAGACCAGAAACCCCCCAAAAGACAGCCGCTAACAAGATTCCAGCAGCGGAGACTCCGGGCAGCGGGTGGGAGTCTGGGGGAGTCGAGGCCGAGGGTGGCCGGGTCTGGGGCTCCGAAGCCGAGGAAAGAGGCGCCCGCGGGCCAAGGAGGCGCGGGCTGCAGGCACTGAGGCTTGTGCACGACCCAAAATAAATAAAATAAGAGTCGAGGTTGGATCCGCAGCCGGAGCCGGCGGAGGGTAGGGTGGGGTGGGGGGCAGGGTGGGTCCTTCTGCCGCGGCTGCCGGAGGAGGAGGAGGAGGAGGCGGAGGAGGAGGAGGTGGAGGCGGCGGCGGCGGCGGCGCGGGGTGTGGAGGGAGTGAGTTAGGGGGTGCTGCTAGTGCATGTGCATCGCCGGTCCTCAGCCGTCGGTGCGTCCGCGGCGCCTTCGCCGACCCCCGCGCGCTGGGCAGGGCTGGGCAAGGGGCCGGGCCGGGGGGTTGGTCTCTAGCGGGAGGCGGCGTCGCTGTCTCCCAGCGCTCGCATCGCTCGGTGGAGCCTAAGGGAGAGAGAGGGAGAGCGCGAAGGAGCCGCGGGCAGCGGGGAGCTCAAGGGAGAGGGGGAGAGAGAGAGAGGGAGAGAGAGAGGAAGAGAGAGAGAGGAGAGGCAGGGAGGGAGGGAAAAAAAAAGGGAGAGCGATCAAGCGCGCGCGCACTCCCGAGCCGCGGGGGAGGGGGCGAGCGCAGCGCGCGAGTGCGCCAGCGGCTCTGCGCACCCGGCTCCGCGAGCCGCCTGCTGACGTCAGCAGAGCCGCGCGCCGGGCCCCCGGGACAGCGCGGGCGGGGGTTGGGGGAGGGCGCGCGCTCGGGAGCCCGCTACTGCTGGCGGAGGCGCGCGCGCGCGCGCCTTGCCTCCCCCTCCCCCCTCGCCTTCCTGGCCGCGGTGGGCGCGTGCGGGCTGGCGAGGGCGGGGCCTGGGGCCGGGCGCGCGCCGGTGCGCCCCACCCCGCCCCACCCGGCCCGCGCCGGCCTCCTTGTCAATGGGAGCGCGGGGCTCGACCGCTCGTCGGTCAGGTGGGCGCCCCAGCTCGCGGCCCGCGCGGCCTCTTCCCCTCTCGGGCTCGTTCTGCATCTCGTCCCCAGCAGCTCGCCTTCTTGGTTGCTCTCCAGCTTCTGAGGCCGTAACAGCTGAGACCCGGTTACCTTAGCAAACGTGAGGAGACAGTGGGTTGGGATAAACCTGCGCACCCCATAATTCGCCCCTGGGCCCCCGGGCTGATTCGGGGCTTTCTGATTCCGCATTTACTGAGCAACTAGTATGTGAGAGACGAGGCTGTGAGGAGAGTGACAAAGTTAGGGCCTGTGCTCCAGGAACTCCTGCCTCCTCAGGGCACTGTCGACCTTGCTCCCCGAGATTCCGACCAGCAGTCAGTGCAAGAGCCGGTTCCGCCCCGGGGCTTTGGTGTCGAAAGAGAGAGACAGGCTTTCACCTGAGCGTCTAGCAAAGGCTTGCTCCCGGACACGGTTTAAATGCTTCTGCAAAAGGGCGGTCAGCTTGGTTCAGGTGGTCTTTGCCCTGAATTCTCTTGTCCTGCCCCCTGCCTCTTACACACACACACACACACACACTGAATTCTGCATGGAATTTTGGTGAGAGGAGAGTTTTTCTTCCTCCCTTTATCTTTATCTAAAAAAAAAAAAAAAAATTCCCTCCATCTCAGCCCAAATAAGACCCAGAAACCTGGATCAGTTACACAGTGTACAGCTAATGAATTCTGGGGGAAACCAGTATATATTGCCAAAGAAGGGGCATATTCTGGGTGGTCTCGGAGATTTTGAAGAAACTCATTCTTACTGCACAATCAGTTCCACCAGACAGCCCCAGGGGCCCTCCTGGAGAAAGGGGCCAATAGGCAAAGCTGCCTGGGGATAAGACAGGCAAGCGGCCAGTGGAAAACATTTTTTTTTTTTTCCTAACAGTTGGGCATTTCTGTGGCTCAGAAAGCAATCTTGTTTGTTTCAACAATAGGAAAAAGAAAAAGAAAAACACTCCTGTTTTGGAAATGTTACCCAGCATAAAAATACATTTGCAATGGGGGAAAAAGAAAGCAATTAGGGCCCACCCAGGAGAAAACATTTTTCCCCTGATTTTTTTAAATTTGGCATTTTCCAGTACGGATTTGCCCTCTTCTACAAATAGCTGTCTGTGTCAAAAGTTGTATGTAATACATTGAAATTTTAAATTTGAATCATATTGTACATATTGTAGGAAACTGAAAAGGAATCCTACAGAGAATTGTTTTATAACTGCTTTCCCACCTCTGCCTCCCTCATTATCCTTTCCTGTTTGTTTTTGGAGAAGGGTAGATTAGGGAATGAATCTGGTTTGGATTAAAATCAGAGTATCATTAAAAATCATCCTTCCAGGTCCAAAACCGAGAGTTAGGTACCCAACATTCTATAGAATTTGTTATTTCCTCTGGAGGTTGCTAGGCCACTTACACAGATCTATCATCTATCAGATACAGGGGGAAAAATTCAGTAATCTCACCCAGTTCTTCTGTTTCTACAAGACTATATTTGAAAAACCAAAGAGGTAAGGCTATAACCATATCTTTCCATATGGTGGGTCACATTTTACACTTTAGTGTACTTTCATCTCAAGTAATTTTTAACTGAAGATCTTATACTCTTGAGCATTTTGGTTTGTATGGTGATTGAAACTATCCTTGACTTTAGGTATATTTCCCCCTTCTTGGTATAAGATCAAGTATGGTGGAGGCACAAACCTATATTTTGTGTTTTTTTCCTTTACTCACTCAGTACTTACTAAGCTACCATGTATGGTGGGGGTCATGTTCTAGGCACTGTAGATGTTGTATTTCAGGTTTGCCTATCCTGCTTTCTTTTTCTGGGTCACTTTGCATCTTTATGGCTGGGTTTCATAAAAGACTAATAATAATCCTCTTCATCTGTATAGTGCTTTACAGCTTACAGAGCACTTTTACAAAAATTATCTCATGTGATCCTCCCACATAAACCTCAGTTAGGCACTGTGGTGTGGGAAGCGTCATGGCTGAGTGGAAGGAGCCTAGACCATGAATACGGATTGATAAGAGAAAAATTCTGACATGTCCTATATTTAATTACAAAGGGACAGGGGATGGAAGGAAAGAAAAGATGTGGAGAGATTAATGAATAGCAAGCTACAGGCCAAAAAAGAACAAAGGACTGTTTTCATAAAAATGAAATTCTTGAATGCTAAAACCTTAAACCTGTCCTGATCCACGAGGTGCCACGGCATCTTCCTTGTAGCCCCAACCAATCCAGGCAACTGTAGCTTCTCCTTATAGATTGTTTCATCCCAAAGCCTTCGCTTAGGGTAGTCCAGCCCCTCTCGCCAATAGCACATGTGGCTTCAGTGTAAACACCTCTTACTTTCCTAACCCATGTCTTCATTATAAAGTATTCTGGCTTCTTAAATTTAATCAAACTTTTCCAACTATGAACTATCCTGATGCTGATAGTTGTGGGAATTTGTCCCAGGACTTGGTAGTTTCTTTTTCTGGCTAGCATTTGTAATGGCTCAATAAACTATTGTATTTCTGGGATCTTTTGGCCTCAGGAGTTTTGGATTAGCAGGACTGACCTATGTACCCATTTTACAGCTAAGGAAGTTAAACCTTAGCTTAGAAGCTTGAATAACTTGTCCAAGGTCTCAAAGTTATTAAGTAATAAGTCTGTGCACCTTTCACATGTGATTGAGAAATAATGTGTCTTATACATAGGTCAAGCATGCTTTTCAGACTCAGAAAGCTGACAAACCTAGGACTCAGACATATTCTGGTTCCCTGAAAGGAAGTAAGGATGAGAATGTCAGTTCTTGGTGAATTATTAGTAATCCGATAATAGCACATGTGTTTATTTTATCCACAATTAATTCCTCTGGGAATAAGGAAATTATATCCTAATATCAGAAGTGGGGTTGCGTAGACCATTTGGTTTTATTTTATATGAGTCTCAGAATTATATTTCTCTGATTATTTCTGTTGGTCAGAAAATAACTTTCACCACTCCCTCCTTGCTACACACGTATCGTTCAGCATATTTTTAATTTTAAAAGTAGACAATTTGAATGTTTTATATAATCTCTAAAGGGAATTAGCACAAAGCCTATATTAAGTTGCCTTTTATTTCTGTCCTGGGGATTGAACCCAGGGGCACTCTACCACTGACCTACATCACCAACTCTTTTTATTTTTAATTTTGAGACAGGTTTTCACTAAGTTGCCAAGGCTGGCCTTGAATTTGTGATCTTCCTGCCTCAGTCTCCTGGGTAGCTGGGATCACAGGAGTATACCACCATGTCTGGCCTTGAGTTGCTTTTTTTTTTTTTTTAAACTATGTGGCTCCCAGTTCTGGAGGACAATAATTCATGATTATTTATAAGGTGCCCCTGATTTACCCAATGCAGGCTCTTATTAGGTGAACTAACTTTCCCTATTTGTTCCCTTATATGAAATTACTTTGATTAAATATGCATGTATTCATAGTCTACCATGTTTCATATATTGATTTAGACTCAAAGAGAGATGTAGGTAAGAGCATAGAGTCTTGAAATCTTGAAACCCCTGAATATTTTCTCAAAACTATTAACATTAGAATCAGCTGGGGTGCTAACAAAAAATTCTGTTATCCATCTTAAAAAAATTCTGTTATCCATCTTACTTCTACCGTCAGGCTCCTCTTCTGCACTTTGCACTGATAGACATTTCCCAGGTGATTTTTTTTTTTTTCTGTACGAAGTGATTTTCCTGTACACACAGAACTAGGAGCTTAAAATCCAGATATCTCACGTGTTTCTGAATTCAACTTTTCTTTATGTTTACTAGTTTTTTGTGTGTTTCTGTCAAAGGAAAAAATTATGAAAATTTTAATTCCTTATGAGCACTACTGTCTTGGGAAGAAAACAGACTCAAATGTGTCGTCCATGAGCTAAATTAAACGAAACTAAAATGTCAAGTGAATTCAGCATTTGAGGGAGAATGGTAGATCACTAGAGATTTTGGGTTTCTGCACTAAATGTTTCTATTATAAACTTGATAGCTCACAGTCCAACTTAGTGGTGAAAGTAATTTAGAAGAACATCTGGCCCAAGGCGAAAAGATGGCTATTTGGAGGGGGGAGGTTACTGGAGGCTGAACCAAGGGTCGCTTTACTATTGAGCTACATCTCCAACCCTTTTTACATTTTTTATTTTGAGACAGGATCTTACTAAGTTGCTGAGGCTGGCCTTGAAGTTGGGATCCTTCTGCCTCAGCCTTCTAAATTGCTGGGATTATAGGCCTGCACCACCATGCCCTACTAAAAGATGACTTCTTATTTTCTGATAGATATCTGGCATTAGTTAGGAAAAGTGCTGATCAATTTTCTTTCTTTCTTTCTTTTAAATGTCTCCGTATTAAAAAACAAGCTCCCTAATCAACAATTCCCTGACTGATGTTTTGCACACATCTCTCAAACCATGTAAGAATTACCTGAGGTGCTTTTTAAAATGGAAATTCCTTAGTATCATTCCTAGAATTTCTGAATCAGTAAGTCTGAGGTGGAGCCTAGGAGTCTTCATTC